GAAAGAAAGTCATTTAAATGCAACAAATAAAAAATTAAAAAAATTAAAGAATAAAATGCTTCTAATCCTTCTTTTTTTTTATGCTTTTTCAGAAGTGGAGTGCTCTCCTGCTCAGCCCAGACTCCGCGAGTCCAACAGTCCAGGTCCTCAAGCCCAAACAGCCAAAAAGAAAAGAACTCGAAGTAAGGAACATTTTTTTAATGAACCAATAGATAGCACACAGTCCCTCGACAGTTTGTTTCCAGGACTTCTAATAGAGGATGACACCATATACAGAATCCAAGTCAAACGTTTTGGTGGTGGTCTGTTCTAGAAGCAAGTCTATTTTAAAGCCCTGCACAAAATAAACTGGGAGAGATCCATTATTGTAATGTTAATGTCATCAGGACATAAAAACTGCATAAACCCAAAGAAAGGTTTAAAAAGCTTTTTTCCTCTGCTTGTGCAGCTGTGCGCAGACATCTGTTATGACTCGGTTCACAGTGACGATGTGAAGGATTGTTTCAGTGATATATCTTTTCCTGTGTCACATCTGTGTCAATTCTTCCTGGTAATGAACTCTGTTTTTCCACACACAGTCCTGATGAAGATGTAATAATGAACCTATATAATAAATATGGAGAATGTCGGGTCTTCCCTGCCAGTGTTTAGATCTAATTTATGCATATTCAGTGTTTTAAATACTCCACTGGCTTTCTCTACTTTCTAGAAACCAAAACAAAGCCTAATGAGTCCACTGGCATTATGGGAATTAAGAAAAACGCCCGTTCAATGGAAAACCTGCTGGAGTATGGAGTGAAAGAGGAACCCAGAGACTGTTCTCCTGCAGCTGAACCTAATCAGAAACCAGGTAGACAGACATCAGATTTGAGCACTGTATGCTGAGTTGCTAATGTAGTCCCAGCACCACAAAACAGACTTTAGAACAGGTGCCATTCATCTTCTGTTATCTCTGAGCTTGATGACAAACTTGGTCTATGTCTTTATTTCACTTATTGCAACTCTGACAGCTGTGTGGAAAGCAAACAAAATCACTCTCACCATGTAAATACACCCCAACTTGGCACAAGCTACAATTCCAGTTTTACAGTAACCATGTCCATTTTCCAATATAGCAACACAAATGATTTACTTTTTTGTCTTTAATTGTAGAAGCTCCAGATATTCCCCCAGACATAAGCACAGCTGAAAAGAGAGGTGAACTTCTGAAATGTAAGTGTAGCAGGCATCATCCGCTCATGCAGCAACAGCAGCCGTGTCTGTTTGTTTTTTAAAATAAAATGGTCTTTCCTTTTATCCCTTTCAGACGCCACAGAACTCACTTTCGATCCAAGCACCGCCCATAAACGCATCGTGCTGACCGAGAACTTCACTAAGGCCTCCATGTCAGACGAGCACATAAACTACCCTGACTGCCCCGGACGCTTTGCTGTCTGCTCCCAGGTGCTCGCCTCCAAGGGTTTCTCTACTGGACGCCATTACTGGGAAGTGCGACTGACCAACATTAACTTCATTGGCATAGGCTTGGCTTACAGCAGCATCGACCGCAAAGGCCCCACCAGTCGACTGGGCCGCAACGTCCAGTCCTGGTGCCTTGAGTGGTTTGATGTCGGCCTGTCAGTCTGGCATAACAGCAGCGAGACCGTGCTTGCTAATCCAAATCCAAAGCGTGTCGGCGTGCTGTTGGATTGTGAGGCCGGCACCGCTACGTTCTATCGCGTGGCAGAGAGGGTGTATCCCTTCCACACTATCAAGTTCCCTTACCCTGCCTTTTTAGAGGCTATCTATCCAGCCTTCTGGATTTTCTCAAATGGCTCCTCCATTACCTTTTGTAAAATGCAACAATGAATACCATACACAGTCAGATGGTGCGATTGTTGCTATAATTAAAGGTGTCCTATGGTGTTTCAGTTTTCAGTTTACTAAGCAACCAAAAGCTATTGTAGCCATATTTCCTCCTGAAGTAAAAACAAAAAATAAGTAATTTATTTTAATAATCCAGTTTATCAACAAAAAAAAAAAAAGGCCTGGTAAATGGCCTGTATTTATATAGCGCTTTACTAGTCCCTAAGGACCCCAAAGCGCTTTACACATTCAGTCATCCACCCATTCATACACTGGTGATGGCAGCTACATTGTAGCCACAGCCACCCTGGGGCGCACTGACAGAGGCGAGGCTACCGGACACTGGCGCCACCGGGCCCTCTGACCACCACCAGTAGGCAACGGGTGAAGTGTCTTGCCCAAGGACACAACGACCGAGACTGTCTAAGCCGGGGCTCGAACCGGCAACCTTCCGATTACAAGATGAACTCCCAACTCTGGAGCCACGATCGCCCACAAAATATTAACTGCTTTGTGCATAATTTATATCCATTGTTACCAGACAGCCTTCTTATTCACTGTTTATCCAGGTGCAGGTCTTGGCTGGCACATTTGTTGGCTCCATTAACTGTATCAGTGGAAAACCATGAAACCTTACAGATCACATGCAAAACATGTAGTAATGTGCTAATATTGGTCAAAATCTCCTGCTTCTTAAGCACTGGTCATCGATTCTGCATCAGATTAAGATCTGGTGTTGAATCCAAAATAGTGATTTGATCACTTTGAACCACTTATGACACGGTGACCCATCATGCACTGGTCATCACCAAATTGCTCCCAGATCTATGAAGTCACGAGGATGTTTTATCGTATGGTCAGTGCATGTAACACTAAATACGGTGTTGTTGTTTAAATTTGACTTCTTTTCCAATAAAACTCTTTAAAATGCTTATGATTGCGCCTCGCTATATAATAGAAACATGTTAAATCATAAATAAACAAATAGTGTGAATAAAGATTGAAGCAAAGGGGTTTCGAGTTTTGTGTAAATTCATTATTCTTTCTTTTGCATTAGGAAGATGATTTGAGTTTTAGCTTTGTACAGTCTGGTCTTTTGAGGGTCTCTGAGATTTTTTACTTCATGGTGTTTTATTTTGCTTTTAGGTTTCTTTCATGGCTTTGTCTCGTCCCCATGTTTTGTCCCTCACTCCCCCCCTCTCTGTGTCTCCGTCATGTCTGTCTTCGGTCTGCCTTACCAGTTTCCATTTCCTTCGCGTCTCATCCCTTGTCTCCCCAGTCTGTCACTTGCTTCCATGTCTGTTAGTCCCCTTTCCTAATGTCAAGCTTTCGTGTCCTTTTCTGGGTCTCGATGTGCGTGTTACTTCCTGTTTTATTTTGAGGGTTAGTCAAAGGGGAAGCAAAGTTTTGCTTCCCCTGTTCTGTTACTCAGATCCAGCTGTGTCACGTCGTTGTCTCCCTGGCTGTGCGTGCTCCTTGTGTCTAAGTGTTCACTGCTGTTTCCAGGTCACCATGTTTCTTGATTTCTGTTCTGTCAGAGTTTCAGCTTTAGTGCAAAGGTTTAAAAATGGTATTAACTGTTTAGGAATTAGACCTATTTTTGTACAATAAAACCCATTTTTAGAGGCTCTGTGATAACTGGACAAACTAACATGATTTTTACTATCAAGTGTTTTGAAGGAAGGAAGGTTCAGGGCTTAAGCAATCAGCATCATGGGCTCATCCGGTTAGAATAAGAATAAGCAGTCATCTAATTATTCTCAGGGTTTTCCTTTTATTCTCCAAATCAATAAGGCAAAGGAAGGAAAGAAAGACACACATGGACTGCTCTCTCTAAAAAGGACATAAAGTACGATTTAAGGAACTCAAAATGATACATGAACTCAAGAGACTCAAAGAGAAACTCACCTCAGCTGCCGCCCCATGTGGGAGTGAAGAAAGAGTGAGGGGTAGGTGAGTGCAGTCCTTATATAACGAGTGACAGGTGAGTGCAATTAAGGCCAAGCACCACACCCAATCAAAGGTGAGGAAAAGAAACAAGGTGCATCTGGTGAAGTGAATGTGCTGAAAGGTGAGCCTTTACAACATCAAGATTGCTTTTTAATGTTTGGAAGAAAATCATTTGCAGTCAGTGCCTGCCAGCACTCAGCTAGGCATAACCAAATGTTGCTTTTCCCATATGTTTTGGGTTATTATCTATTTGCAGTGTAAAGGGTCCACTCCTTTTTACAACATTTGGCTGAATCTGAGCAGGGAGTATAACTCCGTATACCTCACAATTCATCTTGTGGCTTCTATCAGCAGTCACATTATTAACAGCGAGCCAGCTCCACTGACAGTCGTACAGGCCTGTGCCATAATGTTGCCTCCACCATGTTTGACGGATGATGTCGTCTGTTTCAGATCATGAGCTGTGTCTCCCCTTCTTCATACTTTTCCTAACCTGTTGTTCCAGTTTCCTAGTGTAACTAGTGGTTTTCATCTTGTTCTAAACCGTCTGGATTTACATTTATGAAGGCATCTCGTGATTGCAGACCTCGATAGTGATACAATCAAGAGTGTTCTTGGTTCTTGGTCAAGTTAATTATCCAGGGACTTTTGAGTCTCTGAACATGGAGAACTATGCATAAAAAATTACTGTAATTTCTAAACAGATAATGTAATATTCTGATTAACCCCCTGAATTTAACCTGAAATTCAAAACTTCAGTCACAGCTTGATTTATTTTTCATTTAAAATCCACTATAGTTGTATAGAGCGGTAAAGTCACACAACCTCTGTAACTGTCCAAATACTTGTGGATCAGAGTGTAAGTAAGTGTATTTGGTAAATTATTGCTACAATTCATTTATTCTAGTTTAAAAAAGATGTCTTCTGAATTCACCAGTGATTACTAGTAAAAAAGAAAAGAAAAGAAAAAAACATGTCTTTCTTTTCAGAAGGACAGGTGGCATAAGGAGCAGGTACGTTTTAGGTTAAAGCGGGCACACGACTCTCTTCGAACAGACTTTTTCACCGTTTTCCATTTTAAAAAATGTTTTGAATGTGTAAAAAGGGATGAGAAATAACTCATTTATTTCTCACAGCGAGAATCAGAATGTGTTCATAAAAAAAATTATTTGGCTCTGACGTGCGCTCGGAGGGTGGAACCTGTATCACGAGTCCTGTTACGCAAGCAGGAAGACTGTTTTTTCTATAGCCAGAAGCTGTGAGCTAGCTTTCATCACGCGCAGCAGAGGCCTGTGAGTATAAAGCGGTCTGCAGTGTTTTGTTTTGCAGACAGCAGCTCCGCGTGGATTCTTTGTTATTGGTTATTTATGTGCAACGTCGTGAACTTTACTGCAGTAAAATGGCTGTTCTGAGTTTTGGTGCAGGAGGGGTTGGCCTTTGTTGATTATCTGCTGTAATAAGTTTCGTTTGTGCCTCGCAGCTTCATTCGCATCAGTCCCATCATGGCCGAAGTGGACGAGTCTCAGTTTTCTATCATGAGTCTGGAGGATGAGCTGACCTGCAGCATCTGTCTGAGCACCTTTGACTGTCCGGTGACCATCCCCTGCGGACACAACTTCTGCCAGGACTGCCTGCTCGCCAGCTGGGAGGACTCGTACAGCTGCCCTCAGTGTCGAACCGTGTTCGACACCAAACCCGAGCTGAAGAAAAACACGGTCCTCATCGCCGTCGTGGAGACCTTTAAAGTGAGATCGAGCAAGAGCGAAGACAACCTGAATGAAGAGGAGAGCGAAGAGGAGAGAGGCTATGAGAGCGAAGAGGAGAGAGGAGAGGAGAGCGAAGAAGCGAGCGAAGGGGAGAGCGAAGAAGCGAGCGAAGAGGAGAGCGAAGAAGTGAGCGAAGAGGAGAGAGAAGAAGAGAGCGAAGAAGAGAGCGAAGCGGAGAAAGACGATGTCATCCGCTGTGATACCTGCATGGAAGCAGAAGCATCGAAGACCTGCCTCACCTGCATGGCGTCTTACTGTGAGGAGCACCTGCGCCCTCACCGGGAAAACCCCGTCTTCCATCTCCACGAGCTGAGCGAGCCTGTCGGAGACCTGTCGGAGCGCATCTGCTCCGACCACCACAAGCTGATGGAGTTCTTCTGCAGCCAGCATGACCGTCTGATTTGCAGCTTCTGCCTCCAGCATATCCACAAAGGATGCTCCTTCTTAACTCCGGAGGAGCAGAGGAACCTGAAGGAGGTGTTTGCATTCACATTGACGATTGTACTGTATTAAACACTGACTTATGTACAGAGTTAACTGTTTCTCCTTAATTCATACATGTTTTAACTTATTTAATTTGTAATATTATAAATCAATATGTTGGTGTGTATATCTTTAAACAAAGATGGCAATCAGCTGACTTCCTGGAGAGGAAACATTCCATCTGTATAAAAAAGATGGAAGTGGGTTCATACCTGAAAAGGGACCCTTGTGTACAACTGTTTGTAAATGACAGCCAAGTTCAAGTCTTCCTTGCTTTAACAAGTTTTTCTTAGTGTTGTATGCCAGGCATTGAGCTGTGTCTGCTTTGATCTCAGGCTGTATATTTAACACCACTGCTTTAGGCTGATGGATCAGGTTGTATTACACTTCTTTTTCCACAATATCTGATTCAATGACTGTGGCCCACACATCTCTAGTCAAGGCAACACTAGAAACAGATAAGAATGACCTCATTATAAATAAAGTTTAACAATATAAAACATTTCCGCATGTAAGATGTAGTGGAAAAATGAAATAATGGAAGAATGCAGATGGTGGACATGCAGTCAAAGCATTACTTGCAAAGTTCTCCAGGCCCACTGAGCAGTGTCTGTATGAAATTTGTGCACTTAAGCTGTTCTGTGTCTGTTCTTATAGTCTGACCTCAGAGACAAGTTGGGTTTGCTGAATGAGAAAATGGAGAAGACTGAAAATGTTGTGTTTCAAATGAACAACATGCAGAGTATGCTGAAGGTAATTTCCACATGTCATGCAGAGACAAAGTAAATGTGCTGGCAGTAACTATGAAAAACTCACTGTTGTCATATCTTATCTTATTGTTACTGTTCCAGGATGGAGCAAACAAAAGAAAGACGGCACTCGCAGCTGTCTATCAGCAGATGAGGGACATCTTGGCTCAAGATGAACGCGAGGCCCAAACTGAGGTGGACCGTGAGCTGGAGCTCGGTCAGATGAAACTTCGGGATCTCACAAAGAAGTTCGACGAAAACTATAATAGGATGGGAAAAGCCAGAGAAGATATCAACAGGCTGCTGAGTCAATCCCAAACCTCGGCTTTTCTACAGGTGAGACGAACACCCGTGGAAAACTTAAACTAAAGAATAAGATAGAATGGGCGTGGTTAAGTTAAATAATTAGGACGTTTAAATAAAAACCTTTCTTTTGCCCCCCACAGGCTTCAGTTGTGTTGCCCAAAGTTGTAAAGTTTGAGCCTCACGTGCCTCGAATCAATCTGGACTCCAAGAAGGTGATAGCGACGCAGAGCTTTGCTGCAGCCCTGAGGGAGACTCTGATGGCGATGCTTAAACAGCCAGTTGAGGCCAGATTACCATTCTTTAAAGCAGGTCTGTGTGCAGGCACGCATTAGCAGAAAATGTAAATTTGGATTAATATTCTAAAAGATTAACGAAGCCAATCATTTTCACGTTCTGATGCAGATCTTAACACTGGTGCATTTGGGGATTCTGGTGAGTTTGTGTCTTGTGGAAAAAACTGTTGAGGATTTTCTGTTAAATGCTCATGCATTTATTCTTCTTCAGTGGTGACTGTTTCTTGGGAAGTATTTTGGGAAGCACTCTTTAAATGTAACCTTTGTTTTTAACAGGTGAAACAGCAGCTCCTGTCTCCAGACCAGAAAGTGCTGGAGGTAGTGAATCCCAGCCAAATTCTGGTAAGTTTATATCAGCGAGGAGTTGTTATAGGATAATATTTGAATACAGTAACATGTGAACTGAAAGAGTATCTGAAAACATCTGCCAGTTTGACTATCTCCTAGTGTGATACAGGTATTCACTGTAACTATAATTTTAAAGACGATCTCATGTTAATAATACACGTACGATAATGTGGTCTTGTTGTACAGCTATAATTACTGACTACACCTCCCTGCACTTGTTATTTGAGTGTATTTGCAAGAGAAGGCACACTGTGTAAAAAAACTTATATTACATTTTTATTTAAAATACTGCAAATCATATTGTAATATCGTTAATTTCCTTCCTCAAGCACATACGTGAAAACTATTTAAAACATTACAAGCATTTTGTGACACGTGATTCTTTACAGTGTGATAAAGATGTTCAGAGTGCGTTCTCATTTCACTGTTTCATTACTCAGCAGCGCCTCAGCAGAGAAGCAACCCCTCGTTCCAAAGTCCACTGAGCAGTCCACCCATCCAGCCGTACTACCAGCCGGTTCCTATCCCCGTTTTTATTAGACCACAGCAAAGATGGAATCCACCCCATTATCCACAGGCCCAACCTCGATTGCAACATTTTGGGCAACCTCGATTTTATGCCCAACAAAACACAAGTAAGATACAACCTAAAATCTCTCTCTTACACACACACACGTCTGTAATGACAAAAATCATACATGTCTGTGTAAACAGCTTAGTCTCCAATCACCACATTTCAGCCTGATATGAAATCACATCTACTAAAAGTCAGTGTGCTTAAGGCAAACTCGATCAATCTGATAGTTCATTTAGTGTTTTAACAACTTACCACTGGGCATGTCTCTGTTCTGAAAGACAACCATGATCGCGCAGTCAGTTAAACATGTGAAGAAGGTGAAGACCTAGACAGGGATTGGTTCTAAAATTACCTTACTTCATCGCCCATACTCACGCAGAAGCTTACGGACATTTGTAGATGTCCTTCATGGTTTGGCAGTAATAGAATGCAGCTAGGCACTTTTACAAATATCTATAATTCACTTTAACAGTAGAAGCTTATATGCAAATTTTCATAAAATAAGAGAATATTTAAGCAAATTTGCACATCCATTCAGTGTGATTGCAGTATCTGAAACATGGATTAATAAAGAGAAAGGAGAGGACTTTGTAATAGATGGATATGAATTAAATCTTATAAATAGAAA